TTACAAGTTGTGACGATTTGCTACGCAGTAGGCAAAAAACAAATGGCCCCAGCCAATCAACCAGATGGACAAAATTCCTACAGGGCACCTGCCCCAAGAGCAGACGACCCCATGACAGGCATAGCAAGGTCAAAGCAAACAACCCTAAATATAGGGAGGGGGGGACGGACAATCCGATGCATGCGCGAAAAGAGGAAGCCCTAGCCTCGTGCAAGGAGTTTTAGCATTTCTGGCTGTCAATCAACAAATGGCAACATTAACTTCTTCCCAACAACAAGGGAAGCCCAATCACATCAGTGGCCAACGATCAATTAGCCCGCCCCACAACTTTGGAGTGTCCTGGCGGCCCCCACCGCAACACGTGCTCTCCATGAAGGAGAACATGCTTTCACACACTGTATATGAACTCCTGGCCAAGACACTGACCAGGAGAAAAGATAAGGAATGGGGGGAATATGGCAAAAGGAGAGGGAGGGAGAGGTGGCAACTCTAACCAGAGCACCTTTGAGAGTGGAATGGACTCAGGAAGTGATGAATTCTCCTTCACTGGAGGTTTTTAACCAGAGGCTGGATGACCACATGTCAGGGGCATGTTAGCTGTGCTTCTAGCATTTCAGGGGGTTGGACTAGATGATCCTGGGGGTCCCTTCCAACTCTACAATTCTCTGATTCTGTGTCTACAGAAACCCTACAACTCACGGTAGCATCAGCTTACCACCTCTACGCAAAAGAACCCGCATAGTGTAGTGCGGTTAGAAATCTGACAAGCATGTATCATGTTGTCATTTAGGCAAGCACTGAATACATTTTTAATGTTTAAGAAGGCTTTCCCTGAAGTCTGCCCCAGTCATTTCATGGAATAATAATTGCACACTTGTTTTTAATTGCACCGAGTTTATATTTATTTCGTTTGTTGTTGTTTTTTATCTTATTCTGTTGTGTGCCACTTTGGTTACTTTGAGTTGTGATGTGGTGTATAAATCTGCAAATAAATAAATGCATGATAAATAAAGAGCAGATCACATTTCAAATTTGCCATCTGTTAAGACTTAAAAGGTGAAAGGCTGAACAAATCCCCAAGAACTGGTTTGCCTATGATAGGTCAAAAAGGTAAAGGACCCCTGTATGGTTAAGTCCAGTCTAAGGCGACTATGGGGTTGCGGCGCTCATCTCGCTTTCAGGCCGAAGGAGCCGGCGTTTGTCCACAGACAGCTTTCCGGGTCATGTGGCCAGCATGACTAAACCACTTCTGGAGCAACAAGGCACCGTGACGGAAACCAGAGCACATGGAAATGCCATTTACCATCCCACCACAGCGGTACCTATCTATCTACTTGCACTGGTGTGCTTTCGAACTGCTAGGTTGGCAGGAGCTGGAACAGAGCAATGAGAGCTCACCATGTCGAGTGGATTCGAACCGCTGATCTCCAACTGATCAGCAAGCGCCACCCGCTCCCCCTATGCCTATGATAGTAACATAGAAAGCTGCCTTACATGGTGTCTGACCCAAGGCTTTTTTTCAGCTGTTCCGGCACCTCTCAGGTGAGTGCCATTGCCATTCTAAGACAACGAGGGAGGTGTTAATTGTGAGTTCCGGCACCTAGAAAAATACCACTGTCTGACCATTACTCCATTGTGCCCGGTATTGTCTATGCCAGGGGTGAGCAAACTTTTTCACCAGGGGGCCAGTCCACTGTCCCTCACACCTTGTGGGGGGCTGGACTATATTTTTTTTTAAAAAATGAACGAATTCCTATGCCCCACAAATAACCCAGAGATGCATTTTAAATAAAAGCACACATTCTACTCATGTGAAAACACCAGGCAGCCCCCCAAAAATAACCCAGAGATGCATTTTAAATAAAAGGACACCTTCTACTCATGTATAAAAACACGCTGATTCCTGGATCGTCCGCAGGCTGGATTTAGAAGGCGATTGGGCCGGATCCGGCCCCCGGGCCTTAGTTTGCCTACCCATGGTCTATAAAGGTAAAGATAAAGGTACCCCTGACCATTAGGTCCAGTTGTGACCGACTCTGGGTTTGCGGTGCTCATCTCACTTTATTGGCCAAGAGAGCCGGTGTACAGCTTCCGGGTCATGTGGCCAGCATGACTAAGCCGCTTCTGGTAAACCAGAGCAGCGCACAGAAACGCCGTTTACCTTCCCGCTGGAGCGGTACCTATTTATCTACTTGCACTTTGATGTGGTTTTGAACTGCTAGGTTGGCAGGAGCAGGGACCGAGCAACGGTAGCTCACCCCGTCACGGGGATTCGAACTGCTGACCTTCTGATTGGCAAGTCCTAGGCTCTGTGGTTTAACCCACAGCGCCACCCACGTCCCTCCCATGGTCTATGCCAACTGGCAAAGTCTTTCCAGGATTCCAGACTCTGTACATTCACAGCCCTAACTGGAGATGGGAGGAAATGGCACTGGGACATTCTGCATGCCAAGCAGATGTTCTGGCACTGAGCTATAGCCCTCCCCCTGGTGTCCAGTGCCAATTCCAGAGCCAGTTTCAGGTGTACCCTGTTAGTGTTTAAGATTACCTATGAGCACGTGCAGCTTGCCTTTCCTTCATCACCAAACAAGGAAATACTTTGCATCCCTGCTTGTCTGGAAGTACAAAGCTTCCAAGGCAGATGGCAGAGCTGCCTTATAGGCCGGAACGCCGGCATCTCTCTTTTTTAGAAATTAAGCATTTGCCCACACACCACTTGACAGCAAACAACGCAGTCCAAAATATATATATATATATGCCTGGAACATTTATAGCTTGTGCAGAAGTTCTCAAGCTGCCGCCCGTTCGCTCCATTCCAGTGGTCCATGGAAAGCTTGCAGAACTGTGAAAGAATCACAGAATCATAGAGTTGGAAGGGCCACCCAAGGATCATCTAGTCCAACCCCCTGCAATGCAGGAATCTCAGCTAAAGCATCCATGGCAGCTGGCCATCCAATCTCTTGCTAAAACCCACCAAGGACGGAGAGTCCACAACCTCTCGTGGGGGGACTGTTCCACTGTCGAACAGCTCTTAACATCAGAAAGTTCTTCCTGGGACTCAGCTAGAGTGGTGAAGAAAAAGAGATTTATCTGTGTTGTATGTGCCACCAGAGGGCGATGTGGAGTCCTGGTTTTTCTCTACCTGTTTTCCTTGTTTCAATTTACAACGCTTTAAACTGAAATGCTTCTTCGACCCAGCCCTGGTGCTTAGTTGGAACCTTCTTTCTTGTAACTTGGCTCTGCTGCTAATTTGTGTGTGTGTGTGTGTGTGTGTGTGTGAAGATGGAGAACTAGGTTGTTTTCACCAGGGATGGATTATATCCAACTGGCTAGCAATGCCCTCCTGAACACAGGCCAGCAATTTTCATTATTATTATTATTTATTAAATTTATTAAATTTCTACTTCCCTTCATCCAAGGATGGCAGGATGGTTTACAATATAAAAAGATAAAAATACATTCCATAGTAACAAAAGAAAACAATAACACAATGATTTAAAGGCTATAGATTGCTTAATTAGTCAAAGGCCTGGGAGAAGAGGAATGTTTTTGCCTGGCACATCAAAATATGCAAGGAAGGTGCCAGGAGAGCCTGCCAGGGGAGACAAGCAGGGAGCCACCGCAGAAAAGGCCATGTTGCCATCCTCAAACAATCAATCAATCAATCTCCAGTCGATATAACTATCCTTTCACCCCCAACTTTTCGTTATAAAGGAGGCCTTCCCAGGAGCCTGGCCTACGGCCTGTGAATATCACTCATAATACAGCACTGGTTTCGATGAAGATACAGATGCCAAAGGAAAAGCAAGACCCCCAGCAATTGTCAAGTGGTCTGCACACACAAAAAGTTTGAGAACTGATAGCTTAAAATTATGCTTCCTGTGCTACTTACACCAATCTCAGGAACCAGGGGTCAGTTCACCGGCCCCAATATCATTGACTCTGACTGGCAGCAGCTCTCCAGGGTCTTGGGCAGATGTCTCCCCCCTCCCCAATTCCAAGCATGTGCTCCACCACTGAGCTATGGCCTGCTCATAGCTGCGAGTGTTTGTCGTTTAAACCTAGCTTGGGCTCCTCCTGTGCCTTAAAAAAACAGCTTGGTGCTTATGAATCACATACTTTTTACGGTATGGAGATATAAACATCATGGCCTGCTAATTTTGGAGCATCGAATCGATGTTTTACATCGGCTGATTGGGGTGGGTGGGGAGATGGCAATTAGCATCGCCACTTGATTGGGGCGGGGGGAAATCCAGCCTAGGCTGGGCGCGTGGCTTTTAACAGCAGCCTTATGTTACAGACGAAGAGCTGGCGAAGCTTCTAAGGAGGCTTTTAAGGAGAAAAAAAGCCATTCGTGGAGGAGAGGATTCATCGACGGCTACTAGCCATGATGGCTTTGCCCTGCCTCCACAGCTTGAAGCAGCGATGTTTCTGGATAGCAGTTGCTGAAATCCACAGGAGGGGAGTGCTGCTGCGCTCGAATCCTGCCTACTGGTTTTCCCACGGACATCTGGGGAAACAGGGTGCTTAACTAAATAGGCCATCCTGCATAATCAATCACAAGACCCGGTGCACACATACTATTTAAATGGCAATGCCCATCAACTTTGGAGAAACCTGATCCCCTCAAATATTTTAATGGGGGTACCGCAGGGACCTCAGCCCCTAGGAGTTAACTCCTATGCAATGGCCTGATCCAGCTTCTCATGTGCTTACGAAGCAGTCTGCCTCCACCCTCCGCTCAATTCCCAGTTAAAGGCACAGGCGGCGCGGCTGGGCTTTTGTTTTTTTAAAGTTGGCAACCTCCGCACCAACTCGGTACTTTCCGATTCTGACTGCATACGGCTCGGGGTTTTTTTTCCTTTGAGCAGCACCTCCCCGCGAAAAAAATAAAAACAACGCACAGAGATACGCACACCAACGGCTGCTTTAACTCCTCCTCCTCTCCCCCCCCCCGCCGATCTTTGCCCGCCCCCAAACCAAAGCTCCCTCCACTGGCTGTGATCGGCGCTGCGCGCACCGAGCAGGGCGCACGGAGTAGGAAGCGCCGGCAAAGACGCGCGACTTTGGTGCGTTTGGGAAACAAAAAGCGGGCGGGCGAGAAAGCGCGCACCCGCCTCCCTCCCGGGAGAGCCGTGCCTTTAAATGCTGGGGACTGAGCGCTCGCCGGGGACTCCAGTGCCCGCCTCGCTCTCTCCAGCCACCCGCTCCGGCTCCCGCTTGTTGCTCAGGCCGGCTGGCGAGGCGGGCGCGCGGCGCGCAGCCGGAGCGCACAGCGCGGCGACCATGAGCCACCTGCGGCCGGGCTGAGCTGGAGGGGGGAAGCCACAACTCTCTGTTGGCTGTTGCTCCCCCCCAAGGGGGGACGAATAAAATCCCTCCAGCCTCCAGGAACCAGGCGGACTAACCGGCTCCCCAGGAGCCTCGCAGCAGCGCCGTCGCTTGGTAAGTTTCCAGCGCCGTCGCCACCAGCAGCAGCCGCTCTCCGGACGGAGGAGGAGGAATAGGAGGAGCGGGGGAAGGTATGGGGAGTGGATCAGGTGACGGGAGCCAGGCACACCTGGGCTGATCTCCGGCTTGTTTGTGCAGAGAAGGCGGCGGGAGAGGTGAGTGGCTCTCTCGGGCTGCTGCTGGCTGCTCGCGTCTCTCTCGGGCTGTAGCTGGGCAACCTGGTGGCCGCCGGCGGCACCCCGCCCCTCCTTTCCCTCCCCTCCCCCACCCCATCCCACCCCCCAAAAACTTTGATCGCTGGAGGAAGAATGTGATGGAGGAGCGCGAGGGGGAGCGCAGCTCGCGGAGAAAAAGATCCCGCTGGGAAAACTCACCCGCGATTCGATAAATAAACTAAGGTGGCCGGCAACTGGGCTGGGCTTTCAGCGTGTTCTCCAGCAAACACGCCCTTTAAGACCAACAGCCTCGTAGGCAAAGGCAAAGTTAGCCCAGACGTGGAGTGGCATTTTAAGGCTTTGGTTATCCTTCGGGTGCTTTCCAAATCAATTCGGGAAGAGGCGTTTCAGTAACGCTGTAAGAGTCCCGTTTGCATTTTTATATATATATATAAAAACGCTGATAGGAGAATGTGTGTCTTGCCCCTTAAGAGCCCTAAATGTTTGGAATGAAGTCTTAATGAATGAAATTGGACTTCATTCTCTCAATAAGAGTGTATGCTGGTGGCCCTTGACAAGGGGCTGTTCCAACCTCAGCCTCTCCTCGGCACTATGGAGAGAAGAATGGCCTACCTTAATGGGTTGTCGGATGAACTGATTAGATGATGATGGTCTATGCCAGTGGTTCCTAATTAGCTAAGTCCTGTGGACCCCGTTTTTTAAAAGCTAAGCCATGGACCCCCTACTTTTGAATTTTTTAATGTATTTCTTGGGTAGTTTTGTTATGTGAATAGTACCACAGTCCCTCCTGTGTGGGTTATGCGAACTCCCAGTTGGGAACCACTGGTGTATGGGAAGTGCTTTGGAGACTCTGGAAGAAATGCAGAATTTTAATACTGGCATTTAATTGCCATTTCTACTGCTGCTTATTTTTTCATGCCCTTATCTGCTCTTCAGAGACATAGGAAGCTGCCTGGGATGGTTTGGTCATCTAGGTCAGTATCATTTACAGCAACTGGCAGGGGACATTGCTACCCATCCTGTAGATACCAGGGACTGATCATGAGACCTGAGGTGCTTGTCCACTGAGCAGTTGCCCTTCCTCTGTCTAGCCACTGTCAGAAGTGGGATGATGAAGCAGGCAGATGGGCCTCTGCCTGATCCAGTAGCATCCTTCTGATGCTCTTACTAGAAAGGGCATAAGTGATGGAAGGGGCCACCCCTGTGAATTTTGAGAATCCCTCAGGATCAAACTCCCAGCAAGAGCAGCATTTTCATCTTGGGTCCCTTCAGCTCTGCTCAGCCTTCTCACAGGAGTCGGCCGATGGAATGATGCAGACATCAAACTCTGTGCAGCAAGAGTCAAAGTGAGATTTTGCTCGCAAGTTAGGTGTGCCTGGGGCTGGAGCCTGAAACTTACCCTGCCTTGCCTCTGACTTGTGTGGAGAGCTGATCATCGTCTCTAACCTCTAGCCTTGCTATGTTCTATGGTCCCCCTGGGTTCCTGAGGCCTTGCCAGAGCATGGTATTGATCAGTCTAAGAAATAAGCCAGGCACATTTTGTACCTGGCTTCTATTGGCCACTTGTGACCAGGTGAAGATGCCTGGGTGCCTGACATCTCCACCATCTGGAGGTGCATGTCTGGGGATCCTTGGGTCTTGATTGTTTTCACACATGAGCAACACATCCTGTAGAATTCAATCAGTTCTATTTTATCACTGCACTCGGAATGAATTTCAAGAACCAAAATGCTTTTTCTGTGCAGCCTGAGCAGGAGCAGTGAACAACATTCCAGTTAACTGTTGTCTTCACTTATCCCACCCAACTGCCCTGCCCACACTTGTGAAGGATATTCCTATGTTATGAATGGTCCATGTCACCATTAAGAAAAAGAGGCCAGAATAGGCTAATATATATGTGGACTGTCCCTGGATCAAGTGACTTTTCTTCTTGAAGTTCAAGGTTGTCATCTGAACTAGCCAGGTATTTAATTGAGAATCAATCACAGCCAGTCCTTCATTTGAAAAATTAGAGCAGTCTTTTCCCAAAATGCAAACTAGGCATTCCATTTTGGTGACTGCAACCCTGGTTTAAGGAGACATTTGGCACTTAGCTATCCGACTTTCTAACACTGGCTATTGATGCTTGCCACAGGGCCAAAAAAACCCCCAACAACAACTGACTGCAAGCCTAGCTTTGTAATGCAGTAGAACCTTTTTGCTGTGTGGAACTGCTCCAGAGCTCCTCTTCCAGAGCTTGTGTCTGGTGGTGCTATGGGAAGTAGGAACAAAGGGTTGTTTTGTTTTGGCGACTTGGTTGTTGTGGGTTTTGCTTTGACTCCCAGGTTCTTTAAATAAAATGCTCAGGTTTATGGCTAGCAGCCCTTGTCCTTTCTGGTTCCTCTCCTTGCTCTGATAGCTTCTTCCCTCCTCTTTAGATGTAGGTGGTTCATTAAGATTAAGGAGCCTGTCGCTTTGCTCCTGTTACTCTATAGCAGGGTTTCCCAAACTTGGATGTCCAGCTGGTTTTAGACTACAACTCCCATCACCCCTAGCTAAGCAGGACCAGTGGTCAGTGATGATGGGATTTGTAGTCCAAAAACCACTGGAGAGACCTAAGTTTGTGAAACCCTGTTCTATAGGGATGGGTACACTGTGGCCCTCTGGACATTCCTGGACTGCAACTCCCATCACCCTTGATCACTGGGACTGATGGTAATTGGAGTCCAGAGGGCCACAGCTTTGCCAACTTTGTGATCAAGCAGTGTTTCCCAAACCCAGCTCTTCAGGTGTTTTGGGACTACAATTCACATCATCCCTTGCTAGTTAGAAATGGTGGGAGTTGTTCAAAAATTGTTAGGGACCCAGGTTTTGGCAACACTGCTATAAAGTAACATGGCATGCTGATATTATCTCATTTAGCAACAATGAAATTGAGACAAGTATCCTCTCAAAGTTCATCCTTCCCAAAGAGTAGCAAATGATTTGGTGGGCGGGGGTAGGTGGAAGGGAGGATAATCATGGCAGCAGTTGCCTTGTCTTTTCTTTTACCACATTTGATACAAAAAAATGACATTAATCAACTCCAACGAAACCTGCAGAGTGTTGCATGTGTGCATCAGTCATATATAAGGAGGAAAATCTGAGCGGGGACACTGTCAAATAACTGAATCATAGGGTGCAATGCCAAGACTTCAGCTGCCCATAGCTTCTCTATAAGCAAGCAGCTGGCGGTCTGACATCAGCATCACTTCTGTTTACATAGCTGATATATGAGAGCCATCCCTTGTCAAAGCAGCCGGGTTTAATTTGGCCTCCTTCTGCATTGTGTTAAGTGCTTGCTTTGTGTGCTCTTCAGCCAAGGCAGCAACCCTAGGCAGGTGGCAAAGTGGTACCCTTTCAGGCTCTCACCTGTTCTGTGATGTCTAGTCCTTCCTGTTCCTGTTGTAGATTCATCCCATGTCTCTCAGTGTGGTGTAGTGGTTAAGAGCGGTAGACTTGTAGTCTGGTGAACCGAGTTCACATCTCGCTCCTCCACATGCAGCTGCTGGGTGACCTTGGGCTAGTCACTTTTCTCTGAAGTCTCTCAGCCTCACTCATCTCACAGAGTGTTTGTTGTGGGGGAGGAAGGGAAAGGAGAATGTCAGCCGCTTTGAGGCTCCTTTGGGTAGTGATAAAGCGGGATATCAAATCCAAACTCCTCTTCTCTCTGTTGCATTGCAACTCCCTCCTCTTCTAACAGGTGGGGAAACTTCTTGTTACCTGAGCTCCCTTTCCCAGGATCCTTTGCACCATGTGATACTTACTTAAGACTGTTTCCTGCTACAGTTGGAACTGGCTCAAACTGCTGATTGGAGGCACACACACACACACACACACACACACACACACACCCTATAGTTTCCAAACCGATATGCATCTCATCCTACACACCCCATGTTTTCTGTAGCAACCCCTCTTGGCTGCTCATTGTGTTCCTTTGCACCACGTCTTCTTAATGTGGTCTTAGGGAGCCTAGATGAGGCATTGAAATGCTGAGCATCAGCTGAGAGGTGTGTGTGTATGTGTGTGTGTGATAATTATGGGGATTGCAGCAAACAGATGGGGGGATGAGACCCTCTCCTCTCCTGCTGAGGTCTTTAGCAAAATCCCTTTTCTAGCCTTGGTGTTTGCTGGGAAGGGGAATCCACCCCCAACCTCTCCCCACCCCGCTCAACTGATGCTTGTTGCATTTTTATACAAACAGCCGTTTCAGCACAAAGACGTATTTAACATCCTGCCTAGTTCAAGCCTGAAATATCTTTCTTCAACAACGCTGTTCTGTGCATAACCAAAAATATTTCTTCCTCTGTCTGTTGTTTGCTCTTTTGTTTTTTCCTCCTCATTCTCTTTAGACTTGCCTGTGCAGTATGGGGAGCTTTTATCCTGTTCTGCAGGTACATTTCCAGATCAAGGGGTTAGGGGAGGTGCTCAGCCACCTACACACAAGTGTTAAAGCAAATGCTTTGCATGTCTAAGATCTCCGGTGCAACCGCTGGCATTTCTGCTTAAGAAATCTCAAGTAGCAGAGCTGCAAAAGATCCTTGGCTTTAGGCCCTACAGAGCTGCTGTTTGTCAGGGTGGAGGTGCCCTGGGTTTAAATGGTCCGGTCTGGTATAGGTTGGACCTGAGAGTGGTCACTAAGCAGTGTAGGGAGGGCAGAAGCAGATGGTGGATTTAGACACCCAAGGCTGCAGCTCCCAGGGGCTCATTTTCATCAAGGAGGGGTGGAAGTTGGGGGTCAAGTTACACAAAAGAGTCTCTTACTTTTGGACATGTGTATGATTGCTAGATTTGCGGTGGTTAAGCTCAGGCAGTCCAGCTGATTTTGCTGGACTAAAACCTGCCCCGGCCAGCAGGCCCAATGGTCAGGGATGCTGCAAACTGTAGTCTAGCATCAACTGGAGGGCAACAGGTTCCCCCATGCCTGAACTAGAAACACTGGAGAGGTTGTAACATGGGGGGGGGGAAGCTCAGGCTTGGTGGCCAAATGTGGCCCTCCATGTCTTTCAACCTGGCCCTCAGGGCTCTCTCTAGAGCACCAGCCCAGCTTCATGCCCTCATGGGGTGGTTTTGCCTAGCTGGAATGTCTCCTTGAATAATACCTCTTTCTTGGCTGGATGGAGAAGCAAATGCAGAAACTCACCAACTGGATAAGGGTAAAATTCGCACCCATTGCCCTGCTCTCTTTTGCCTCTGGCCCTGTCCATCGCTAGCATGTGGCCCCTGAAATGTTGCCCAGAAAGAACCCTTGGGTTGGAAAAGATCTCCCACTTTCCCCTCTAAGAGTTGCGGCATTGTGATAAATGGCCATGCAGTTCTGCAACCTGTGAAGCGAGGAATGAGTTTTTTGGGGTTCTCTTTTGGGGATTCCGCCTGCACTAATGCCTCTGTTGGTTTTTTCCTTTCAGCAGGCATGGGGAACCAAGTGGAGAAGCTGACGCACTTAAACTACAAGGAGGTTCCCACCACAGACCCGACGGGCATGGACAGGGATGAGGGCCCCCGGATTGGGGTCTCCTACATATTTTCTAACGACGACGACGACATGGAGCCTCAGCATGACTCCGTGGTGCCCGACCTCGGTGGAGAGCACCCCACATCTCAGCCGTACGACCCCCGGCTTCACGAAGTGGAATGTTCCATCTATTACCGCGACGAGTGCATATACCAGAAAAGCTTCTCTGGGGATGCGCCGACGTCTGACGGGGTGGAAGGAGGAGGAGGAGGGGGGCAGCTGGCCACCTACACCCCAGAAAACCTTTTGAACCGGTGCAAACCTGGGGACGTGGTGGAGTTTGTCTGCCAGGCCCAGTACCCTCACTGGGTGGTCTACGTTGGGGATTTCCAAGTCGTGCACCTGCACCGGTTGGAGGTAGTGAACAGCTTTCTGACCGACGCCAGCCAGGGCAGACGGGGACGTATTGCTAACCAGCTATACCACTACAAGCCGCTGAGCCCGGCCACGGTGGTACGGAATGCCCTGGACCAGGTGGGCTGCAAGGACCGGGACCTCAGCTGGAGGAACTCGGAGTGCTTTGCCGCCTGGTGCCGCTACGGCAAGCGCGAGTTCAAAATCGGCGGCGAGCTGCGGATAGGCAAGCAGCCCTACCGCTTGCAGATCCAGCTGGGGGAGAAGCGCAGCCACACGCTGGAATTCCAGAGTCTGGAGGACCTCATCATGGAGAAGAGGAGGAACGACCAGATCGGGAAGGTGGCCGTCCTCCAAGAACTGTCCAGCCACCTGCAGCCGGCAGAAGACGCCGACGGCAAGGATCCCGGGGCCCAGACAGCCAACGAGTAAGAAGGGCTTGCACCGCTGGGCCCAGCCTGGGTGATGGATTAAAACTGAAGGCGGAGAAACTGAGCTGTTATAAGCCCCTTTGGGCTGCTTCAGGGCGGCTTCACTCCAATCACATGTGAAGGGAAGTGTGTGGGGGGGGGGAAGCTGATTAAGTGTCTGTGCTTTAGCACTTAACTCCTTCCGCGCTTGGTAGAACCAGCAACTTTACTTTTTTATTTTGTTTTGTTTTTTGGTCAAGGGTTAAAACTCAGGGAGATCTTCCTTCCTCTCTGTTCTGGCGTGGTTTTCTCTCCCCCAGCTGGCTCCAAGTCTGTGCTTTTAGCTCCTGCAGCTTTAAATTTGGGTGAAGTCCAGTGGCTCTGGGCTACATGATTAAAATGCAGAGCTGGAAACTTCCCCTCTGCTGTCTGTTTTCCCCCTCCTTTACCTCCTCGTTTGCATTGGCATTTCTGGAATCTATTTCAGTCCTGGCCTCCCCAACCTCCCCTGCCCCCATGCCTCCAAGGATCTAATGGCTAAATCACTGTTAATTCTGTGGAATGGGGTTGTTAGCCTGTTTGCATTGGCTCCTTAATAAAGAGAAGCCAGCCTTTGGAAGGCTGTGGGATGAAGGCTCCGGGGTCGCCTCTGTGGGATCTTTGAAAGGAGCGCTTGTTATTAGACTCCTGCTCCCATCATCCCTGCCCATTGGCCATGTTGGCTGGGGGACGATGGGTGTTGGAGTCCTGCAACATCTAGAGGGCTACTGGTTCCGCATCCCTGGTGTAGGAGGACAGTTGCAACTTCTTTTCACTTTTAACCGAGGAGCCTAAAATATGTTGGCAGAAAGTTGGCTGCTGTATCCTGGTAGCAGGGCAGATTTCCTTCGGGTGCTACTGAAATGGTTGGCAAAGCTTTCCCTTGAATTCTATTGAGCCATATGACCCACTTTCAATATATCTCACGGGCCAGTTGGGGGGTTTTTTTTGGGGGGGGATCATACTATTTTGGTGGCAGTGGGAGAAGGATTAAATCCACGTGGCACCATTGGGATGTGAATTGGCTTCATAGCCACATGATGTTTGGGCACATCTATGTTATTGCAAAATGTGAATTAATTCTACACAATTTAATTGCACACTAGGAACTGATAGCCTCCCCCCCTTTTTTTTAAGGTCTCTGGGTCCAAAATTTCTGGGTTTGCATGACAGTTGGCTTGGAGGGCAGACATACCCTGATTTAATTGCTTTTGGAGATCAGGTTCTTAGTGATTTGGAAGAAACTGGTTGTCTCAATCAGTTTGTATTGTAATTTGGTTTGCTTACTAAATTGATTTCAGGATCCCAGGAAAACTGTTTCTGAAAGGTTGGGGCTTTTTCACCCTTCCCCTTTTCACCTCAGTAAGCTCTGCAGACCATACAAAGCCCTCTCCCTTTCTGGGTAGTGGGTTTGGCAGTAGACTAGGCTTATCTTTTGCCTGAAGTTATGGTGGGTTTTCAAGCTGTGGGGAGCTTCTGGCTTCACCTGCTACACGCTGATTCCTCTGGAAGCCTTTTTAAGTTCATCCCCATGTGCCGCTGCGCCACAACGATATTGTTGGGGGAAGAAAGAGGGAGCAATTGTTCTCCTTTTGGTGATAGATCTGATTTTTAAAAGCCATTTTGACTCGTCAAGGGATCGTAGTTGCAGAAGGAGAGAGATGCAAAGCCTTCCTTTGTAGTGGCTTGCTAGCGCAGGGTAACAATTGAATTGGCCCTGTTTTTTGAAAGCTCTTTTCACTTCAATGGGGTTTATGTAAGAGCCATGCTTGATGGGTTGTTTTCTGCCTGAGAATTGCATCCCACTTCCTAGCATTCAGAGAACACAACAGAGTCCTTCACACAAATGGGGCGAGGAAGAGAGAGCTTATTTCTTGAATGAGCCACCGGATTGACTTGAGGTAGCAAGAATTAGTACTGTACTTGAAAGCAAAGTGTTTTCAATGGAATTAAGCAGAATATATAGTATATTCCCCCTCCCCCTCTCTTACAGCTTGCAGTTCTCCACTACTTGATGCAAAAAAGGATTCCCTTGCCCTGCTGTCCATTGCAAGATTGGATCACATGTAATTGGAGAGAGTGGGCTGTACTACTCATGAAACATACTTTGGGGTATTCCCATGGGAGTTAGCAGGTCTGTTCCAGGACAAGCAACTTGTGGATTGAGAGTAGTTTGGAAGGCAAAGGAATTTCAAGTTTGATTCCGTTGTCCTGACTCTGAAGTTAAGGAAACTGTAGCACATAGGAAACGGTTTCTTAGCGTTCCCTAACACTTTCTGTCTGTTCTTGGGATACACTGTTCTGTTGCAGTGGCAACTAGGTAAACCCACAAGCCAGAACGTTTGTCTTACACCAATGTAATATGGGATCCTGAAAGCCATTTTCAACAGTAATCCCGAAGTGGCTTGCTCTGAAGTATTCAAACCTGAAGTTAGTGGTGCACCTCAAAGAGGACAGCAGGTTGTACATTCAACAGAAAAAAGTGGTAGAGGCTTTCCAGGGCTGTACCACTTTAGGCTGCAGGTGTAGGGAGTGGGTCACATGACTGGATACCTCTCTTCCCAGAACAAACACAAACCTTCCCTTAGCGTAGAAGACGCATGCCACAAATGTTCATATTATAATTTTCTCTGCGTCGTAAACAGAGTCTTATCCAATGCGGCACTCAAGATACGTGATTGCCAGCCCCCCCCCATACTTTGAAATAGTACAGTCCACGAAAGTCGCTGCTTCATTCTGCTGAATGTAGAACTCCCCAGAAACTTGCAGCGCTTGTCTGATTCTTGCACTCCAAGCAAACCCACACTTGATTTGGCTTAGCTGGGTTGTGGGCTGCTGCAAGACTGTTTTTTTTTTGGGTGGAGGGATAGCAATGCTATTATTTCACCAACCAGTTTCTGGGCTTTTTGTTTTGAGATGATGGAAAGTTCAAGAGAATTTTTCAAGGAAGCTGCCGGTGTCGGAAAACATGGGCCAGCTTCTGAGTCGTGTGCCCCAGACCATGCGACCCCCTAAACAGCTGTGCACAATGCACGAGATCTGAAGGTGGCATTAAGGAGCAGGATGTGGCTCCTGGCATGCTTCTGAGGCTGTTGTCTGTGCACCTGCCTACGCCGGAAAAAATCCTGCTTCCGGTGATGTCGTCCCGTTGGTGTGTGTGAGCTGTGGGCTTGGTCTCTGTCCTTGCGAGATGGAAATGGCACCTGAGCATCGTGGGGGGGGGGCACTTCCTATATACACAAGCCAGTTATGAGCACCAAGTGAGTGCTTCCTGTCATTGTGCCTCCCCAGAAATCAGTGGCTTCTTTCCTCCTTCTCCCCCTGTGGAATAAAAGGTTTTAAGGATGCCCTAAAATAGGGCGATGTCTCGGAACTGGGCTTGATGCTGGAGTAGCCAATGCTTATCCTGGAACCTGCATCTTGTTTGGCAAGGAGATGCGTGTGAGACTGGTGTGGTTTCAATGGGTGAGGCAGTGGGTGGGAAGCAGTGTCTTGTTTTGCCGTTTTCCTGCCCCTTGATCCATAGACGTGTGTTGTGCAGTGTCGCCTGAAGGAAAACAATGGGGAGGGATTGTAGAAGAAAAGCAGCAGGCAGGGGAAGGGTTAAGCCAGGGGTCGGCAACGTGTGGCCTATGGGCAGGATGCGGCCCATGAAGACCATTTTACCAGCCCACGAAGACCATTTTACCAGCCCATGAAGACCGTTTTACCGGCCCACGAGCCACCCCCAAACCAAACCGCCCACTCAGTGAGTCCCCCACGCACTGCGCTAAACCGGCGCAGCACGGGGACTCACCGAGTGGCACCGGAAATCGCATCTACGCACGCGCAGATACCAGAAATCACATCTGTGCATGTCCAGATGCCGAAAATCGCTTCTGCACACTTGCAATTGATGGCGTCTGGGCATGCGCAGAAGCGATTTCCGGCACCGTGTACGTGAGCATGCATGATTTACGGCATCGCGCTGTGCCAGTCCGGCCCACAGATGATCTCCATGGGAGTGATCCAGCCCATGGCCGGTAAACCTTGCTGAGCCCTGGGTTAAGCACTCACATGTTCCTCCTCCCCCTTCCCCTCCATAGCTTTCTGGTGGTCACAGATCTGAGTTTTCCCCTGAAAACTTCGCTCTCCCTTCGTTATGAGGCCTCTGTCCCAAGTCTACAGAAGGGAGGGTTGTGGCAGATGACACTTCTTCCAGCACTTTGGTGCCATAACAGGTAAGGAAGCAGTACCTGCTGCAATTCTCCTTTCATTAAACCACTATTAAAGGCACAACGGAGCCTTGGCTTCCCGTTAAATCCTTCAACTGTATCCGGGCTCCAGAGTCGATTCTATAAAGTTATTAATGATTCCGGTCCTCAGTTTTTTGTAGGACGAGATTTAGTCCACTATGTAACGAGTGGTTCTAAAATTATATTTTCTTACGCAAGTATTTTTTTTGAAAGAAAGCCTATAACGAGAATATTTACATTTCTTGAAAGTTGTTGTATTATTTTCACAAGCAAAAAAAAAAAAAGAATATCCTCCAAATCAGTTATTATTTTTGTCATTGGTGATCTAAAAGTATTTTCTAGGTCATAAATCTACTGTAAAAGAAACTATAGATGTCAAACATTGTGAATCTATGTATCTACAAGGTACTAAACTGTAACTTTACTGTGAAAATTATTTTCCCCTGTGTGTCCGAAACACTGGAGACGGTTTTGGGGGAGGACCTTTTTCTCATCAGCTTTTATTCCCCCCCAAAAAACAAACAAACCATGATGTGCTTTATTTGTAAAAGCAAATACTTATTCATTGTTGGACAGCTACTCAGGTTTAAACAAAACTCATTTGTTAACTGACGTGTTGGAATGATCATGCTTTTATCTTGACAAATGCTTAATGCGCATGGAGTTGGTCGGATGGAAAGATCAGGAGAGGCTGCAAAAACGCCCCCACAACACCCTGTAGAGCAGAAAATTATAGGAAGAAGCTGTAGTAACCACCTCCCCTTAACATTCTGTGCAGGAGGCCACTACAAGTCACTCTCCTATTTAGCACCTTGTGAGTAATATACATAAGGGGGAGCGGGGGAAAACCTTGCTTACAAATGAGAGTAGGTCCACATGACTTGAGACCTGCCAAGTTGAACACAAATCATTAGGTCCTCAATAAACTTTCTATTTTGCAGCAAAATTAGGCATGTCAAGCCCCATGGCAGGCCACAATACATGTCTAGGGTAGGGGCAAGAATTTGGTGACTGACAGATCATACAGGCCTGAACTAACCCCATGTCACACCTTAGCTCCTTGTTTTCTAAACCCTCGACCAGAAGGACATGACCAGGAGTGATGGCAGATGTTTGCAAGCTAGCAGGGCCATCTGCGGGTTTATGAATGCTGCACCAGCCCTCGGAGCTCCATGCTGGGGGCTGCGCTGCAGATGGGGTTATAATCTGCTCCCTTAATTGAAAACATGCTTATCTTCCCCCTCTCTCCTTGTAGGATCTGTTTCCACTTCAATAAGAAGGCTGCTGGTGTCCCAAGAGCTCAAAGCACAAGGCAAACCTCCCTTGGGTGAGGCACCAGCTGGGTGCTGGGACAGTGATGGCCAAACTTGGCCCTCCAGCTGTTTTGGGACTACAGTTCCCATCATCCCTGACCACAGCTAGGGATGATGGGAGTTGTAGTCCAACAACAGCTGGAGGGCCAAGTTTGGCCATCACTGTGCTGGGAGAATGGGAGGTCCTCCCAGCCATGGTGTAGACACAGATTGGGTCAAATGTCCATTGCTTCCCTGCCTGTCCACACGTTGAGTTGGTGATGCTGAAGAATAGCCTGCTAGGCCTGCGCTTTGGTGTGTGTTCTTTGGCCTTGAGCTTTCCACTCCTTGGTTTGACCGGTCTGTCCCCAAACTGGGAACAAGAAGAGCTGTGTGGGCATATCTGCACTTACACTTGTGTAATTGCTGTGGCTTCCCACCAAGAACCATGGAGGTTCCATCACCAATGATGGTTCTTCAGTTTCTGTGAAGGGTGGGGGTGGGATGACTATTATATGTCTCCAAGATACAGCTATGCCTTCTGTTTCACTACATGGCATTCAGTGCTAGTCCTACTCAGAGTAGATCCATTAAAGCTAGTAGACATGGCTAATTTCATTAATTTCAGTGTGTCCACGCTTAGTAGGACTTAATTTTAGCACTAACAGAGCGACGGAATCATCTCCCCTCTCTTCCCCCCATTTTGGGTTTCACCTGACCCTCTTGGGTAGATTTGAGGAGGAAACCCCATTGTGTTCCTGGAGTCTCCCAGTAGCAGAACACATTAGGGGGGACACATTCACACCAAACATTTAAAGAGCTATGATACCACTTTAAACTGTCATGTCTCTTCCCCCCTCCCAAAAATTCTGGGAGCTGTAGTTTGTTAAGGGTGCTGAGAGCTGTTAAAGGTAAAGGGACCCCTGACCATTAGGTCCAGACGTGACCAACTCTTGGGTTGCGGTGCTCATCTCGCTTTATTGGCTTCCGGGTCATGTGGCCAGCATGACTAAGCTGCTTCTGGCGAACCAGAGCAGCACACAGAAACGCCGTTTACCTTCTCACCGGAGCGGTACCTATTTATCTACTTGCACTTTTACGTGCTTTCAAACTGCTAGGTTGGCAGGAGCAGGGACCGAGCAATGGGAGCTCATCCCGTCGCGGGGATTTGAACCGCTGACCTTCTGATTGGCAAGTCCTAGGCTCTGTGGTTTAACCCACAGCGCCACCCGCGTCCCTTTGAGAGTTGTTAGGAGGCCTCTATTCATCTCCCAGAGCTACAATTCCTGGAGAGTTCCGTGAAGAGTGAATTATTAAACCACTTTGGGAATTATGAAGGGAATAAGGGCCTCCTAGCAACTCTCAGCCCCCTTAAACTACAGCTCCCTGAATTCTCTGGAGAGGGGCAGCCACGACTGTTCAAAGTGGCTTTATAGCACTTCAAATGTATGGTCTGAATGTGACCTTAGCACTGTGTTGAATTGCTTAACTTTGAGTCCCCGCCCCCCAGCAATGCCTATGGGATTCCTCTGGAGTAAGTGGCTTGAATGTTTGAGCCTTAACTTCCTATTTGTCAAGGTGACACTTTAGCCCACTCTGCCTTCCCTGAATCATTTGGCCTTGGCTAGCGCTAATGGGATGACTCACGAGTGCTTTGAGGATATACATTTGCATGTAGCCTGGGCACAACTAGGCTTTGGTTTCCAATGCCTTATTAAAAAGGTCACTTCTTAAAAAAACTATAAAAGAAACCTTTAGCCTGTAGCTTAAAACACATTTGCCTGTCTGGACTTGCAGGAAGTGGTGATTCGTAGGACATTGGAAAGCAGAAAGGCCTTTAAAGAACCCTTGTTTTTGAAACAAGTCACACTTTCCATTTGATTCAAAGATTGTGCCCTTCTGACACATCTCTAGGAAAAGCCTGATTTTTTTTCTGGGGAGATGGGATGATAGGAAAGTCAGCTCACCAGGCACCTAAGAGGATCATATCCATGGTGTCTCCTGTCTGCATATTTGCCTGATCAATATTATCCCTATTTTTCAAGAGAAACAAATAGGGCAAGATGCTTTAGTGCTCAGGCTACCTTGCATATGCAAAGAGGCCCATGCAGGTATAGGAAACTGAAGACAAGAAACTGCCTTAATATGCAGGCAAGTGGGCCATCTCACTCAGTACTGTTTATACCAGCGGTAACCAACCTGGAGCCCTCTGGATGTTGCTGGACTCCAACTCCCATCAGCCCCCACCAGTGGTCAGCAATGATGGCAGCTGGAGTCTAGCAAACATCTGGCTGGCAGAAGCTCTCCAGGGATTTGGGCTGGGGACTTTTGTAGCCCTACCTGGTTGAAGCTGGAACCTTCTCTGTCCAAAGCAAGTGGTCCTCTATTCCAGACATCCTCATGGAGGAACGGGGATGGTGGCTGCGTTGCAACAGTAGGCTCCACCCTGATGTGGCTGCATTCATTGTACTGTCTGAGAAGGTCCCTGCAGACATGCAACTGTTTCCATGGAGAGCTTTGTTTCTTCCAGGAATGCATGTGTGTAATTAATACATATGAGTGTTTGAGGGGAGGAGCCTGCTGCTGCTGCTGCATCCACCTCTCATGTGTGTTTTGTTTTGAGTGCATTGCCATGACTGAAAAGGGATGGTCTGTACGCCATTCCTGGCTGGCTGGGTAAAATCAACAGCACCGTGTTTTCAATGAAAGGAGCTTGTGTTGCAAGAAGCCCTTAAGGCAGAACTTGCAACTATAGGGGTAGCTTGTTTACACAGTACAGCACAAGTCACTGACATCCCTGGGGCTAGTCTGGAGCCAGGGCTGCTCCACGCTAGGTTTCCCCAGCCTGGTGCCCTCCGGGTAATTCCGAGCTACAGTTCCCATCAGCCCCAGCCATGATAGCCCAGCATCAGGAATGGGAGTTGTAGTTCAGAACATCTGGAGGTTGTCCGGTTGCGGGGAGCTGTTTTAAACCAGCCAGAGATCACATGGCGGTCTGTGCTACGTCTGGGTGCAGATTGGGGGTGGTATGCCTTCTGCAGAGGAAATCACCGCTTGCAGAAAGCTAGCACAGCAGGGACAAGGCTCAACTCGAACTCTTCTCTGTTACATTTTTTAAAAAGAATTATTTAATATTGACATTTGAACACTAACCCTTGCTACATGCACCCTGAAGGGCTAAACTCCAAGAACAGTTTTACCCCATGACCATCTGTTGATTTAAGACTAGCTCCGTGTAAAATCAATATTCTGGCCAGACGTTCTAATACTTTGTTAGTTATATTAAATATGCTGGCAACCTGGCCATCAAAATCGTAATTATGGGACCCCAAACACTCACACGCACTTTGGTGTGTTTTTTTCCCATTCAGGGCTTCTGTGCCTTTTTTTATCTGGTGTGACAGGAGGGGAATATGTAGGTGGAGTTCTTTTTTTCCTTGGAATAAAGGTTCAGTGATTTGGTCATGTTGCATAAGAAAAGACTGCATCGCCTCACCCCTGGGACTGTCGCCTTGTGCCTTTGAATGACATATGACATGAAAAGCTTTGTATGACATAAAAAGCTGCCTACTGAGCCAGACCATTGGTCCATCTAGCTCAGTAACTAATAATAATAATAATAATAATAATAATTTTTTATTTATATCCTGCCCTCCCCAGCCAGGCTCAGAGCGGCTAACAACATTAAAATGATACAACATTCTAAAATCAGTTCATTGTAAAATCAGTTCAAATCAGATTAATGGCAACCATTGGGCTAGAGGATTACCAAAGGAGGGGGTCAGATTGTGCCTTGGCCAAAGGCCTGGTGGAACAGCTGTCTTGCAGGCCCTGCGGAAAGATGTCAAGTCCCGCAGGGCCCTAGTCTCTTGTGACAGAGCGTTCCACCAGATCGGGGCCACGGCCGAAAAGCCCTGGCTCTGGTTGAGGGCAGCCTAACTTCTCTGTGGCCCGGGACCTCCAAGATGTTTTTGTTTGAAGACTGTAAGGTCCTCTGTGGGACATACCAGGAGAGGCGGTCCCGTAGGTATGAGGGTCCTAGGCCATATAGGGCTTTAAAGGTTAAAACCAGCACCTTAAACCTGATCCTGTACTTCACCAGGAGCCAGTGCAGCTGGTATAGCACTGCGTGAATGTGATCCTGCAGCAAGGACCCCTAAGGAGTCTCACCGCGGCATTCTGCACCCGCTGGAGTTTCTGGGTCAGTCTCAAGGGCAGCCCCAGTATTGTCTCCACAGATTGGCAGCTTCTTTTCAGGGCTTCAGACATGTGACATTCCTACCTGGAGATGTCAGAACTTGAACCTGGCACCTTCTGCATGCAGAGCAGAAGCTCTAACACTGAACTGCAGCCCAGTAGACACTTTTGAACAGCAGCCCTCCTTGTAATATTTGGAAGGGAGTTCAGATGAACCCTGTCTCGTGATAAAACCACATCAAGAGGATAGGGTGATGCAGGCTAACCTTACTGTTCACTTGCCATACACACCACACATTAAAAGCACATTTCCCCCAAAGAATCCTGGGAACTGTAGTTTGTGAAGGGTGCTGGGAATTGTAGCTCTGTGGTGGGTGAACTACAATTCGCTTTGTATGTATTGTGTGTACACAGCCTTGCTGATTAGGTACAGTGGCTGGAATCTGGCTAATCAGGGACAAAGTCTGTAAGCAAAAGTAAAATTTCTTAACCTGCAGCCAGGTTACCTTTCCCCGTCTGACGTGAGGACTAAAATAAACATTTGAACATCTAGGAGGGATGTTAAAACAAAAACAAAAATCAGGTTACTAAAGGAAACAGTACATAAAATGCTGCTTCATATTGGCACATCACAACCTTGTTTTTTTAAAAAAAGCATTCTGTTTTCACCTGAATTCTCCAAATTACAAACACAGGCAATGGGTTTCATCGGAGGAGAGGTATGAATTTTGCAGTTCATCTGTGAAATGCTAGGAATGTTGGAAGCTGCTTTATACTGAGCCAGACCATTGGTCCATAGGACTTAGTATTGTCTAAACTGACTGGCAGCATATCTGTGGGATTTCAGGCAGGGTTTTCTTGCCAGCCTTAACTGGAGATGCTATGAATCAGACCTGGAAACTTCTGTCTGGAAAGTGAATATGCTACCAACTCCCCCCCCCCCCCCATATTAGCACATTTACAGCTAGAGTTTCCCCAAGGACAGTAGAGGGTTGTTTTGTCAGTTGCTTCAACACCTGTGCTCTTCAATGATTAGCCATTCACAGTTCCTGATAGCAAGAGTATAGGAACAAACGTTTCGGAAAGCAAAATATGAAGATCTTTTAATAAAAGGCAGTACTGTACAGAATCGAGTACATTCACAGGTAGAGCAGATTAGACTATATACTATATATAGCCCGCTGTCCTTTCCTTCCCAGTTTCTCCCCCACTGTTCATTGGTTTGTTTCCCATCCACCAGTTTCCTAAATCAAAAGCTGGAGGGAGTAACTGGATATCAGTGAATGGCTTAGGATGATTTATTTTTTAATCCACAATATGTAGCCTTGTGAATGAAAATCGGGATGATCTCTGACTTCAACCTAGGTATTTCTAACCATCGCAAGATTTGCTTTATATTTTTTAATGTAACGAAGACATGTCATGATACTGTCCACAGCAATAGTTCTTGTTTTCTCCATGAGCTGTGTTAATTCTGTAAGTTTGTGTTTCCGAAACTTCTAATTGTGGGGTACAGCGTTTTGTTTTTAAAACTGAAGGCCCACTTCATTCTTGCAAAAGGTGTGTGTTTTCTTAATTCATCCATGTGGACTCTCTTCCTTGGGGAGAGTTTATATTGTCCCTGGCATCTCCCTTTCAAGGCCTCAAGACTGGGATTAGTTCTTTCCAGATAATGGGGATACTTCTGACCTTTGCCCCCAAGGCACCCCACTTTCACCCCTCTCATAGCACAAAGTGTGCCCCAGGCGTACGGTTTGGGAATCACTACTGTCTTTCGTCGGTGAATGTTGAAAAGCTGTTTGCTCAGACGCCAGTTATTTCCATGGAAAAGTGAAGATTCCTGATTGTATGACTTCCTTCAAAATGAAGGGCATTGCCTAGTTATTAAGAGGAAATAAAATATTTATAATATCTTTTACATGCTTTCCTGCTGAGCTTTCTTTCCCCCCGTTCCTTACCCTTCCTTTTAAACCTAAAACTCTGAAATCGCTGTGATTTCTCTTTTCGATGTTGACGTGCAGAACAATTGGGGGATTAGAGGGACTATTGCAGTTCCCCCAAAGGAACATAAGAAGCTGCCTGATGCAGAGATGGACTATCAATCCATCTTGCTTGGAACGGCCTATGAGGAATCTTCAGCCTGTGGACTGGATGCATCCTGCCAGACTTCTCCGCTTGACCTACAGGACAATCCTCAGGCCATATCCCCCCTCTGGCCTGCTTTAAAACCCCTTGGTATTTTTTATTTTTTGCTGGAATGTATCCTTCCCCTGAAATGACATTTCTGGCTTTTTCTGGACTGTGGGAAGAGTAGAAAACTCTGGCTCTTGCGTGGCTGGAATGTAGCGTTTAGTTCAAAGGTATCACACATAGCATTAGGACGTCCCCATTTCCATCAGAGAAATGTTGCAAGGTGTGAAATAAAGGTCAAGGTAAAGGGACCCCTGACCATTAGGTCCAGTCGCAGACGACTCTGGGGTTGCGGCGCTCATCTCGCTTTATTGGCCGAGGGAGCCAGAGCAGCGCATGGAAACGCCGTTTACCTTCCCGCCAGAGCAGTATCTATTTATCTACTTGCACTTTGACGTGCTTTTGAACTGCTAGGTTGGCAGGAGCAGGGACCGAGCAACAGGAGCTCACCCTGTCGTGGGGATTCGAACCGCTGACCTTCTGATCGGCAAGCCCTAGGCTCTGTGGTTTAGACCACAGCGCCACCCCTAGGGTGTGAAATAGGACGTCCCTATTTCCATCAGACAAATGTTAGAAGGTATGCTTTTTCAGTTCCCATAGTGCTGCCCACAAAAGAAAATCCTACTGGATCAGGCTCAAAAGCCGATCGAGTCTAGTCCATCCTGTTCTCCTCGTGGCCAATCAGGTGCTGGTGGGAATCCTCCAAGCAAGACACAAGCACAAGAGCATCTCCCAATGCTGTCAGCCACCAGTAGCCATCTCCTCCATGTCTTTATTTTTCCTCTTAAAGCTATCTAGGTTGGTGGCTACAACTTCATGTACTACATGAAGACGTACTTTCTTTTCTGTCCCAAATCTTGCAGTGCCGTGGTACCTCAATCTACAAACGCCTCAGGTTACAAACGCTTCAGGTTACAAATTCCACTGACCTGAAAGAGTTACCTCGGGTTGAGAACTTTGCCCCAGGATAAGAACGGAAATCATGCTCCGGCGGCACAGCGGCAGCCAGAGGTCCCATTAGCGAAAGCACGCCTCTAGTTAAGAACAGTTTCAGGTTAAGAACGGACCTCCGGACCGAATTAAGTTCATAGCTAGAGATACCACTGTATTCAACTTCATTGGCTGCCCATGAGCTGTAAGTGTTACGAGAGAGGGAGAAAAAATTATCTCTATCCACTCTCCATGCTATGCGTTGTGTTTTAAACTTTTTTTCATGTGGCTTCTTGCTCGCATTTTTCTCTGAATTAAAAAATCCCAAACACTGCAACTTTATTTATTGCAGAGTCGCTCCATCCCCTTGATCATTTTGGTGGATGTTTTCTGCACCTTCCCCAACTCTACAATATCCTTTTTGGAAGTGATGCCACCAAAACTATGCACAAAGTTCCAAATGTGGTTGCACCATAGATTTGTATCATGGCATTATGACATATTCCGTCTTATTTTCAATGGCTTTCCTAATGATCCCTAGGATGGAGTTTGCCTATTTTTCCCCAGCTGCTCCACCTAGAGTTGACATCTTCACTGAGCTATCTACCACAACCCCAAAGTCTCATTCCTGGTCAGTCACTGCCAGTTCAGACCCCATGAACGTGTACGTGAAATTAAGATTTCGTTATTGTCGTTATTATTTGCCTTGAGATGCAGCGATTTATGCTTCTTTACGCTGAACTGCATTTGCCACTTTCAATCCACTCAGTTTGGAGAGGTCTTTCGGAGCTGAACAATTTAGTATCATCGGCAAACATGGCCACTTCAGGGAAAGAAGCCTCTGAGCTATAAAAAGTCCGCTGCCCTGGGTCTTAATTGATTGGGAGCAAGTTTCCAGGATTTCAGATGAGTGTCCTTTCCCAACTTGATCTGGAGATGCTGTGCATTGAGACTGGAACTTTCTGCAGATAAAGCCCTTTCCCCAAGTTGTGACCCTTCCAGTTGTGACTGTGGAACCTGGTGTTGTAAACCAAAATCTGCCCTTTTCCCCTTATGGAGTATCCAAGAGCCCATATAGAGTCCTTATGTAGGCTCCCTATTGGTAGGAGAAAATAACAGAAGCCAACCAGAGAATATTGAGAAGCAAAGCAGCTAGTAAGCCTGATCTTTATTAGAACTGTTGCAACAGGGTGCTCCCCCCACACGCAGGAAAGGAGGAGGACCCAGAACAAAGGTATGCCTGCCCTTATATAGAAATTTTAAATTCCCTGCCCTGGAGCTCCAGACCACCCCTCCATACATCATACATACATCACAGAAGGGGTGTAACCCAAGACCACCACCCCCGATACATCATACGTACATCACAGAAAAGGTGGTCTACAGCAGAAATCTGAGTGCATTGTTTATCTTGTCTGACAGGTTACCTGTTAATGCTCACTTGATTGGATACCCTGGGGAGCCTGGCCAGTCTTTTGTAATGATAAATACTTAGTTCCTGAGCCAGGTCACTGGCTCACCCTATTCAAACACAGACAGACATACCCTTAAGACAGGATTTGTGAAGGAAATGACAACGGGGAGGCTTTTCCATTTTCCTTTGACCTTGCAGAGAAAACATTTGGTCAGTTTAGGAATCAAAAATGGTTTCAGGTCAGTCTTCCTGTGCTGATCTATGTACATGCTTGGTTGGTACGTTTATGAACATTTATTATATATCTAAGACTGCTGATCTATGTGTGTGCTTGGTTGGTACATTTATGAACATTTATATATCTAAGACTTTAAAATTCTTATCACACTGGTAAGATGAAGGGTGAGCTAAAAAATGACTTTAAGCTGTCTGTTCACAGTCTGCCTGTCCTCTATTTAAACCTTTTGTGGGATTGTCCATATAAGTCTTCCTAGTACATTTCTGAGTGTTGGTTCAAAGTGTTGCTGCTGACCTTTAAAGCCGGCCTAAACGGCCTCAGCCTAGTATACCTGAAGGAGAGTCTCCACCCCATCATTCTGCCCAGACACTGAGGTCTACTTCTGAGGGCCTTCTGCTGTCAGAAGTGAGAAGTGAGGTTACAAGGAACCAGGCAGAGGGTCTTCACGGCAGTGGCACCCACCCTGGGGAAGATCCTTTCATCAGATGTCAAGGAGATAAAGAACTATACAACTTTTAGTTCTGAGAGCCAGTGTGGTGTAGTGGTTAAGAGCGGTAGGCTCCTAATCTGGGGAACCGGGTTCGCGTCTCCGCTCCTCCACATGCAGCTGCTGGGTGACCTTGGGCCAGTCACACTTCTGTGAAGTCTCTCAGCCCCACTCACCTCACAGAGTGTTTGTTGTGGGAGAGGAAGGGAAAGGAGAATGTTAGCCGCTTTGAGACTCCTTAAAGGGAGTGAAAGGCGGGATATCAAATCCAAACTCTTCTTCTTCTTCTTTTAGAAGACATCTGAAGGCAGCCCTGTATAGGGAATTTTTTAAATGTTGGATGTTTTATTATGCTTTTATATTTGTTGGAAGTGGCTGGGGCAACTCTGTCAGATGACCGGAGTACAAATAATAAATACACTATTAATATTATTGTAAGTCCTCAGGCAAAGGCAATAGCTCAATATTCAGGTGCAGAATAATGACTGGGGGCAGCATTGAAAGAAAAGAAACACTTGTGGGATGTGAAATAACTCTCCCCCCCCACACAAACACTAGCGTGGAAAAAGACTCAAGGCATTTAAAACAAAGAAGCACAGATTTTATTCTCAGGATATACAGTACTTTGTGTTTGTTTGTGTAGTGAAGAGTTTTTTCCCCCAGCACTGCTAGCTCTTTCAGTGAAGCCACCGTTTCAAATGTGTCACATAACTGAGCTGCCTCCGGACCCGACCCTCAAGTCCAGTGGAGCAGGGGCTGAAAGGAAGGTCAGTCATTTTAATATGTTTTGCTCTTTGTGCTCCCTGATGGACAGCCAAGGATGGGGAGAAACAGGTGAGCAGTGCTCTCACTATTTGTCAACCGTAGTTATTTATATACATTTTTTTTTTCAAAAACCGAAAAAGAATTAAAAACATCAAATTCAAATCCGTATTCGTTTTGTAACATAAGCCTATAACATAGTTGACTAGATTAAAATATACCTAATTGCTATAGACTTCCCTTTGCTATATAGAAATGCAACACATTTAGAAATATTATATTAGAATTTTTTATAAATTCCTCTATACCCCCCTCTCCCCTTCACCCATGTGTGATCTCAATATTTTTTACTTCTTCCATCTTGTTGTGTTGTTGTAGTTTAGGAATTATTCAATTGATTCTTTCCTTGCTTACCCCTGCATGTTTTACACATTATCTATTAATATTCCAGTTCCGGAACCATATTTTTTCATGTATTCCTTCACTCCATCCATTATTTATATATAATTTTATATCCCACCCACCTTCCCAAAGGATCCCAGGGTGTTAAACAACAAGCTATAAAGCAATAAAACATATCTAAAGAGATTCCAATCCAGATGCACACTGGGCTGAAAAGCTCTTGTTTCAAAGGCTTTCTAAAATGGGAAGGTCTTCAGCAGGTGGTGAAAAGACAGTGGAGGCTGTTATGTACTGAGCTGAATCTTAGAACAATAGGATCCAGAATGCAGCAGTCTGATTGGTCCACAGGAGCCACCCAATCCAGCTCCACGTGGAAGTGAATCAGCAACCTGATTGGCCTGCAGGAGCAGCCAATCAGGCTCCTGGAATAAGTGAATCAGCAACCTGATTGGCCTGCAGGAGCAGCCAATCAGGCTTCTGGAGGAAGTGAATCTGCAACCTGATTGGCCTACAGGAGCAGCCTGGAATTAGCCAATCACGTGGGACCAATGTGTAAGTAAGGTATATATAGCTAAACGTTTTGGGGAAAGAGTCAGTGTAAGTAATGTATATATAGCTAAACGTTTTGGGGAAAGAGTCATTCATTGCTACTACGAGCTGAATAAAGAGCATGAAATTCACACTCGACTCCAAGTATATTTCAGAGGCCGTGCCTGTCTCATATTCAAGGGGCGGGAATTCCAAAGTATAGGTGCCACAACACAAAGGGCCCGATTCTTAAATTCTTAAATGGGCCTCATAAGATGGTATGATAAGGAGGTCCTCACCTGCACAGTGCAATGATCAATTGGGTATATAAGGTGTGAGATGATTTTTCAGGCTTCCAGGTCCCAAACTTCATCGGACGCTATATACCAAAACGAGCATCTTGAACTTAGCCCAGTAGCTACTTGGCCGCTCCCCCTGTCTTGCCATTTCTCCCAACTTTTTCAGCTCCAAAAACTGAGGAACCAAGGAAGCAGAGCTGTACAGAGTCAGACCAAAGACGGATCTAGGGGAGCGCAACTGGTATGGTCGCACCGGATGTGGAGCTTCTGGGGGACTGCACCACAACTATGACATCCAACAGAAGGTGGGGAGGCGGTTTGTTGGATTTTGGTGTTGCACAGGCTGCCACTGAAATTTGAGGTGCCCAAATGTCTGCCACCGGTCAGGCCATTGACTAAGATGGGTGGGGCCCCTAACATCTGGTGGCTACCAGGTTAGGTAAGGGCTGCTCTATACCACCTGGCAGTGATGCTCTAGGGTAGGGATGGCTAACTTGCGACCCTCCCATCATCCCTGCTGGCCTGGGCTGATGGGAATTGGAGTCCACCCACACCTGCAGATCCACAAGCTATAGACAACCGTACTCAAGAATGTTTGAGTCTTTCTTAGTCTTAGCTCTGCCACTGAGCTACTTCCCTGTCTTCATCAAATAAAGATTGATGCAATGCATATAAACTGCCGTGATATGACAGTAATCTGTCATGAAGATTATTTCATTTAGCAATGCCTCCCCCCCCACCAAAAAAAAAATTCCTGATCTACAATAAAAAGTGTGGGTTGTCTTGACTTTCAACAAAACAGCCCATTCAAATGCAAGCATTGAAACTAAGAACAATACACTTTGCATCATATCATATTGTATCATATCATTATTATTATTTTACCCACCCTTCACCCTAAGGTCCCAGTACATGTTGCAGCATTAAAGCACAATATTAAAAACAATTTAGGGTTAGAATTATATAATGATGTGCATGGGGGGGGGGAATGTAAAAGGAAAGACCATCTGTTTCCCGAAGAGATAAAGAGTTGCTAACTGCAAAATCTCATCACCTTCAATATTATCACTGGGTTTCTTGATTCCTGAGCAGGGTCATTTCCCAGAAAGAAAAAACAGAGCGTAGTAGAATGCACAAGATGTTATTAATATTATTATCTATGCCTCATCAGCCATTTCCAAGCGTGAGTACCACGAAAACAAACTGAAAACTCTGCAAAAGCACAAGTTGCTCCTTCACAACTCTTGTCCCTTTCAATGGGGCTTGTGTCAGAGAATAATAATAATAATAATAATAATAATAATTTATTATTTGTACCCCGCCCATCTGGCTGGGTTTCCCCAGCCACTCTGGGAGGCTTCCAACAAAGATTAAAAATACATTAAAGTGGTTTTCCGGTCCATAAACAGGCAGATAAGTGTTCATAAGCAAGGTATGGGATGGTTGGTTGTGCCTTTCACATCCGCCTTGAATTCATGAGGTCCTCTAGGCTGGTCTTCCCCGTTCCACTCTGCACCCAATTCAAATGCCACCCCTTCTACCTTCCTCCATCCTCTGGGTGGAAAAAATGTCCTTCATGCGCTTTCATCCACCTTCCCTCTGTATTTTTGTTGGCAGCCGCCCAGAGTGGCTGGGGCAACCCAGTTAGATGGGTGGGGCATAAGAAATCTATTATTATTATTATTATTATTATTATTATTACATATAATATAAAAGAAATAAACAACTACAGTGGTACCTCTGGTTGCGAATGGGATCCATTCCGGAGGCCCGTTCGCAACATGAAAGGAATGCAACCTGCAGCGGCGAGTCTGCGCATGCACGGGTTGTGATTCGCCGCTTCTACACATGGGTGTGGCATCATTTTGCGCGTCTGCGCATGCGCGAGCGGCGAAACCCAAAAGTTACCCTTTCCGGTACTTCTGGGTCGCCGCGGGATGTAACCTGAAAGAACGTAACATGAAGCGGACGTAACATGAGGTATGACTGTATCTGACTTTTAGAAGACATCTGAAGACAACCCTGTATCGGGAAATTTTTTATGTCTGGTGTTTTACAATTTTTTTATACATGCTGTAAGACACCCAGAATGGCTGAGGAAACCCAGTCAGATGAGCAGGGTATAAACAATAAAACTATTATTAATAAAATTATTATTAGTATTATTATTAGATGCCGCATAGTCCTACTTCAACCATGGAGGGGAAACACAATCATAATGTACACATAGAACTTGTTCTTCCTAAGCATCAAAGCTTTCATTTTTCTTTTTGAAGTAAGCTATACAATTGCAAAAGAAAAGTGGGTGGGTGCCAAAATTTCAGAAGCGCAGGTGGGTGGCTGTCAAGTGGTTCAGGGTAGTAGCGGTTCAGTGCCTCACTCATTCTTGTGACTTGCACATGATAAATGATGCAAAGATAGTAGAAATGTGCGCACAAAATGAGGCAACAGCGCGCAGATCGACTCCATTTGCACAGCGCATACCGCTTCCAGAATTCAGCGGCCCTTCCTTGACGCAGAGCCTGGATTGCCAGAGAGTAGATTTGGCTCTTACCGTAGTTAGAGGGGCTTAGCAGAAAATCCTTTTACTGAGCTGAGTGCTCCTTCTGTAGGGGGGAAAAAACCCATTTGATGGTCTGATGAGTTATGATATGTTCACAGACATCCTCCTCCTGGCGTCCTCTTCAAAGCTTACCCCTCCCCAGCTCCCTGCGAATATTATCTTGCCCATTCCTCACATACCAAGGTGGGCTGGCCGTGTGGGAGAGGAAAGGTTATCCACGCATCGCTTTTGTGACTGGCTCCATTGTACGGAGAGAGGCTGTGGAGCCAGATAAGTCAGAAACCGGCATGCTGTCATGACTTGGAAGCTTGCCACTGGAGGGAGATACTGCTGACCCGACAACCTTATCTCATGCCATGCAGTTCCTGCGAGAATGAAAGAGGACCAAAGCCGCTCGCAGGTCTGGCTGGCTTGGTTTCAGGTAACAAAGTGACCAGGCCTTTCTTTGAAAGTGGAGCTGTGGGGCCTCTCCTGAACCTTCCGATAGGAAGAGAATCCATTCGCCAGGCGTTTCCAACCTGTTGGCTAAGATGAAATGTCATTCATACAATTAGCAATTGCATGAATGATTTTTTTAAAAAGAATATTAAACAAAAACCAGGTTTAGGAGCCCAGTCTGGATCAGGATGTCGCAAGGAGAAATAAAGGAGATTTAATCCTCTGAAAGTGGGATGTGAGTGGTGCTGTGGGTTAAACCACAGAGCCTAGGACTTGCCAATCAGAAGGTTGGCGGTTCGAATTCCCACGACGGGGTGAGCTCCCGTTGCTTGGTCCCAGCTCCTGCCAACCTAGCAGTTCAAAAGCACAAAAGTGCAAGTAGATAAATAGGTACTGCTCCAGCGGGAAGGTAAACGGCGTTTCCGTGCACTGCTCTGGTTCGCCAGAAGCGGCTTAGTCATGCTGGCCTCATGACCCGGAAGCTGTACGCCAGCTCCCTCAGCCAATAAAGCGAGATGAGCGTTGCAACCCCAGAGTTGGCTATGACTGAACCTAATGGTCAGGGGTCCCTTTACCTTTAATCCTCTGAAAGTCAGTGTCATAGCAGCTGGAGCAGGGTTTCCCAAACTTGAGTCTCCCTCTGATTTTGGACTATAACTCCCATCATTCCTAGCTAGCAGGACCAGGGGGTCAGGAATGGTGGGAATTGTAGTCCAACAATAGCTGGAGACCCAAGTTTGGGGAACCCTGGGTTAGAATGCTCGAATAGGTCCACAGGGGTCAGCAAAGTTTTTCAGCAGGGGGCCGGTCCACTGTCCCTCAGACCTTGTGGGGGGCCGGACTATATTTTGAAAGAAAGTAATGAACTAATTCCTATGCCCCACAAATAACCCAGAGAT